GTTTTTTTTCAAGGCCCTCCAAGAGCAGGCTTTACAGTTAACGTGTATTTAATTGCAGTTAATGTTATAGATATACTTAATTGCCCAGTTCTCATGTAGTAGAATACAACTACGAAAAAGAACAAAACAAAACAAAAACAAACACCAAAAAAAAAATATTTAATCCACAAATTTATTTTCTATCCAATTTCAACCAAATATATTTCATTCCTTTTAATGTATTTCTTTGGCTATTTTCTTATTTTTGAACACTTAAATACAATCAAGCTATAATACAGTTATGGTAGCCTGCTGGCACCTCATACCTTTTCAGAATGGCAAAACCTAACCTTCCAGAAATTCTGATTCTTGAGGTAATATTATTATTATGTCAGCCTCAAAACACATAAGAAAGTTTCAGATGATGTTTTAATTTGAATGGACATAACAATGCAAACATCAATGTGAAATGAGGGGAGAGCCCTCCAAGGGCTGTACACCTCTGGACAGTCCTATACTTCCCCCTTGCTGCTCCTCTCCTCACTACATTCCCTTCAAGCACTAAGACTCTAATGTTCCTGTCTCCCAGCTACGTAGCATGATCGTAATTCTGACCATCTCCGAATCCCCACCAGGAGATATGCATTTATTCAAATTGCCTAGAGCTTCCCTCTCATTCTTCCACCCTAGTATCACCATTTTTCCTTGCCACCCTGCACCTGTAGAAAACCCAAAGAAGGGAGATGCAAGTGTGGCACTGAGGTGTGTCTGCAGAGACAGGGAGCAAGAGGAAAAAGAAATGGCTCAAACGTCTACACACTAAAAAGGCTCATCAAAACACATTTATGCACTGGAGTAACATTACTTTCTTTGAAACTGCTGCAGGTCATGGTACTTCATTTCCAGTGGGACTCACAGTAAAGCAAAATCCCTTTTCATTCATGAATTATGTCTTGAAAAGAGATGGAGGTTTGTAGTACAACGAGGGGAGTAAGGAAAATCTTCCAAATGAAGAGAAAACCGAGAATGACCCCTTGACTTCCCTACCACGCTTTTACAGAATTCCCAATTCCCAAAATTTTGCTCCTCTTCTACCATGGATGCCTCCTCTGTAGCATCCAGTCCCAGAAGGTTCAAACCCACTGATGTCTGTAACTAGTGAGATTTTGTATACACACACACATGAATGTTATGTACCACAAAGGTATGCACAAGTACAACCTAATAGGGGACTTATCAGTTTACCTATGTAGCTCATAGGTAAGTTGCAAGATAAAGTATGGAATCTACAAAGAGAAAGCATAAGTCAATTGACTACAGTTGTGGTACTACAGACATCATGCCTGATGCACAAGTCACTTTGGTAAATGGGAGAATACCTTCACATTCCCTATTTGGCTTTCAGCTATCCCAAAGAGCACTGGTAAGTTGCTGAAATCTGATTCAGTACAGCACAAAACTTTTGTAAGGCATCTCTCAAATTTACCGAACACTGCTGGAAACTAAATGAATGCCCAGACAGATATTTTTAGGAATGAAATTAGATCTTTTTTCACCCGATTCTATAAGCAAGTAACATTTTTGACATTTAAGGGAAAAAACAAGTCAGCAGTTATGTAATTTAAGCACGGATATAACAAAAGCAGTATCATTCAGCCATATTAGCCTACCCCAAGTCCAGTAACTAGTGTTTGAATTAACCACGGAGTTGAGAAGACAGATATGGACATTTCAACCCTTTCCATGACAGGATTTTTCCAAAGATTAATTTTTCTACAGCCTACTCAGGCTTTTCTATGAGAGAACTGTTTGCAAAAATTCATTTTTTCCCAAAAGTCTGAGTACAAATATAAATGGTGAATTTCTGATAGAGCTTATCTGGTAAGATGTAAAAAAATTAGGATTCCTGACCACATCTATGAACATACAAACTGTCACATACAATTACAGGGAGTGAAGTGAGCTGATCCCAAGTGTCTTCCAAATGCTCCTATCATACTGAATCTATTTACCCAGTTATAATGAACCCTGATGGATGTCTAGAATCTCCTTGATCTGTCCTAGCTGTCAGCATGTTTTACAAAATCCTGCTAGATTTATAAATATAAATAAAATACATATGCAATACAAGCAGTTATAACTGATGCTCTTCATCTTTATGAAGACATTTGAGAAATAGCAATGATGAACAATGATTTTATGAAATCTTCATTTTAATACTTAACATCTTTTTGAATGGCATAAATAAAAACTGTAGATACATAGATATATATAATTTCCCAACTTAAATGAGTCAAGTGAGGGGAAAAGAAGACCATTCGCAGCTATAATTTAGGAAATATGAAGACATTCAAAGAACATATGCACTTGTATCAAGTACACTCAGTCATATGGATGATATTTTCTATTTGGAAAGTCAAATCTCAAACAGACCGCTTTCTTATGATAATAAACAAACAGTAACCTTTAAGGAAATATTCTCTTTACTAATCTCTAAGATATGAAAAGTGTCTGATTCAACCTACTTCCCACATCAAACCTGAAAGAAGGTAACAGCTGGAGTTCCATTCAACATCTTTTTCTGAGGAATAAGAAAAAGGTAAGCAGAGACGTCAAAGTCAGACATGAGTAACTAAAGCCCTCTAAGGTATGTTGGCCACGTGTCAATTCATACTTTGCCTCTAAACTACAATGGATTTCAATCTCCTAGCTACACTTTTCCTTCATTTCATACTTCAAAAGGGTAGAGTAAGCCCTAATGTGCTTCTAACATCTTCACTCTGAATGGAGACTTTAAGCACTACTTCAGACAGACAGACATGCAGACTGAACATCTTTAAAAAAAAAAAAAAAAGAGAAAAAAAAATCCTTTCTTTGATTAATGTGTCAGATGTCTGCCCATAATCTAGGATAATTAAAGTAACATCTCCCAGATGTATCCTCTCAAATGTGCCCTATAATTCTTTGAGAACACCATTCTCGATACAGCTCAACTGCATACAGTCTTGATCTGAATACTTCAGTAATTATGAAGGAATGAGTACAGCTCTACATTTGAATTCTACAAGTGACAGTTGTTGAGAAATTCCTGAGAGGCAATGTATGTTGCTCCAGGCAAGTCTCTGTGCAATGATTCAAAATCCCATCAGTCAGTCAAGCACCTCGGTACACATTTCAAGCAAATAAGTTACCTACTTGGACAAGTGGTAATGAAGAAAGCTGTTACTTCCAATGCAGAATGAGCAGGAACAACCAAAAATGCTTAGTTCTCTTATTCTAAAAGGAAAAGAGAGTTCTGACTTTCAGAGTATAAAGGGATCCTTTTCCTTTTAAAGCCTGAATCACAGAAAGAGAAGACGGAAAAACTACTGGTTTTGCATGAAGTCTGGATACATTTTTTGTCAAGAAAAAGAAACGTACTTGTGCCCTGGGGTATATTTTACCAGAGAAACATTTGTTCTACTACTAGAAGCAACATCTCAACATATCTTCCTGGCAGAAGAAATAGTGACCAAGAATACCTTCTTCAAAGAAAAAAGTGGCCAGATGCCCAAAAGGACCACTTATGGGCAAATAAAAGCACAAGTTTTATTTCTGACTAAGGTGAGGGATCCCTATGCAAGGAGCAAGAAGGTGTAACAATTCGGCCCACCTGTTACAACACTGAAGAGCTAAACAAGAGGACAGGCCAAATATTTATCAACAGAAATACTTGACAATTCAGACACAAAGCCAAAGCAAATAATCTAGAATCAGTGCTGAACTTACTATTCTTTCTAAAAGGAAGTCTCAGAGGGAGCATTCCTAGAAAACAAATCCTGGAATAGAGCAGTCTACAAATTCGACATGTAAAGAGGATGTACACCCTTCTCAAGATAACATAGGCATTGACAACACGGACTGGCTGCAGAGATTTCACCATGAACCAGACGCAAACAAAGTAGTTGGCCTTATTACACACAGAGTTCCTGGGTCAGTGGAGATATATGATGTTGATGCAAGTGGAGAGGGCAGGGAACGTGAAAACTAATGTTTCGCATACTGGGGGAGGACAGGATAAAAGAAATGTGACAGAAGAAAAGAAAGAATGAAGAGGAGTGTGCTTCAATCAGCTCCTTAGCAATTTCAGATGAAGGCAGCAGTCCTGCCCAACGTCCAGTCCTGATAAACACCTACACTCATCCCTTGCAAACACTGTTAAAGGTTTAAGCAGACAAGTCACTGCAAGGAAGATTTAATGATAGGCCATCCAATTTATCAAAATTGGAGAAAGCTCTTGATCATCACATTTCATAAGACATCAAAACTGTCTTATTACAGGTATCAACAATAGTATATGGGTTTACAGACTCATTATAAACATATCATTTTAGCCTACTGAACTTCTAAAGTCTCAAATAGACAAAGGCATTTGAAATGTGCTGTAGAAATACAAGAGGACAAAATGTGTATTGTGATGATGTATTATTTGGCTCCTGTAGAAGACACAAGAATGATTAATCAGCATTAGCTGCAGTCTAACCCAGACCAGAAGAAATTGCTGGATCAACAGAAATACCAGCTTAGCATGAAACAGAGGAATGAAAACCTGTTGGTCTCCTTAGGTTATCTTAGGTTATTAACACAACAGAGAAAGCATTAGTGTTTTATCCTCCAGATAAACACACCGTATTAAAGGGTGAAGATGACTGAAATAAAGAAGTAACAATGTGGTATTTCTACTAAATTCTGGATTTACCAGCTTAATTTTCATGTTATGACAGGGTTAACATTTACTGAAAAAAAATCAAAATTCTGAACATGATCAGTGTAAGAAACATATCAAGCTGTGGCACCAACACCTGCACATATTCCTATCTGGTCACTTGCAATTATGCGAACAGGTATGTGTCAACACCTATTGCATTATTTGTTTCTCATCTCCTCAAGAGGGGTTAGGTGGGGTGGGCGAGCATTATGGATTCTCTTTCTCCAAGTTTCAAATTGTAGAAGTGAACTCGAATGTGTAAGGTAACACTTACCTTCTGGACGGTACTGAGCTACAATAGTTACTGCTTGGCCTGCGTTCTTCAGGGCTGCTGCTGCCTGTTCATGGGTTGCTGCTTTTAGATCTACTCCATTTACCTATGAGTGATTCAAAAAAGCTCTTTATCATCACAGAACATAGACTCGTGAAAAAAAAAAAAAAAAAACAAAAAAAACAACAAAACAACAACAACAACAAAAAAACTAACTGGACACAAACTACTTTCCATGCCATGTGAGTCCTCCCTATTTCCAATATTACAAGCTAGATAATACAAAGATCCTTGCTGAAATTCCAAGCCAATAAATTCTCCCTTGCATATGCCACTTTGTTAAGAAATACTGTAATCGTTGTAGTATATCGCTTAATGAATTTTTATTTGCTCAGTCCATTTTCTTCTTAGGACCTTTTTCTTTCTAAGGAGACACAGAGAACGTTACTTTCTGTGATGGTTCACCTCAGCTTTGTTCAATTAGACTTCAGGGATGTCCTTAGCCAACGTGTGCCTATAGCCATTATGTTTAATATCCAGTTACAGACCACACCCTTCTAGCCTTGTTTTCAATGCAGCAGATTTAAAAATAGTGTCAGGAAAAAACTGAAACAGAAATGTGTCACATTTTAGATCAGAGGCATTTTTCACAGTTCAAATAAAAATAAAGATGCACTTTAATATCAGAATTTTAATAACATCAGAGCCAATTTAAGAGGAAAATATCCCTCTTAAATAACTACCAAGTTACAATGTAATTGTCCAAAGAAATTATTTTCCATAAATTAAGTAATTTCAAAAACACACAAAATCTTTATGACCTTCAGTAACAGAACAAGACCTTAGACATATATGAGATAGATCTACTTAAGACTAACAGGAAATTTAGCTGTTACTCCAGGAAGCACCCAATTTTAGACACTACTGCCAAGTGTCTCCACCTCATTAGAAGGCTTATTTCTGAAGCCTGCATTCTTTCAATTTAGACACACATCCCCTCCTCAGCTACCAGACTAAGATAAATTAACATCTTCACTGAATATTGTAATTTAATCTCTGAGATAGGAAAGTGCTATTTTAATCAGGTTACAGATGAGAAGCCAAGGCAGACTGAAGTCCTCAAATATACTTCGGAAGTATATTGGCATCTGTTCCATTGCCTCAAATTTAGCTTAGTTAATTATATCCCTTGCATATAGAGCATTAACTGCCATTAATATAAAGGGACAGGAAAACTTTTGCTGTTGTTTCAATAAAAGAAGCAAGGAATCCTACAGAAATTATACGATCTCCTTTCCTAAGCTCTCCACTCAGGTCAGCAGGTCCTCCTGCAAGGATGAAAGAGATGAAAATTCCTTCTCCATCTTCTCCTCCAACAATGTTGAAACCAAGACCTGTTGATCCTCGATGTAGGACAACCTTTCTAGGCTCTCTGAATGAAAGAAAGGAATACGAAATCTTGGTCACTAGGCATGAGGAGAAGTGAAATAAACAATTAGAAAAGGTAAGTTCTTGGTAAAGTAGTGTTGAAAATTTATGTATCAAAAGTTACACATTTTTTAATGCAACAATGTCACGTGTCCCACTCCCCCCTCCCAAGTCCTCCATCCCTAATGCTAAGACTTTTAAATAATAGATTCTATTTCTATGCTTTCAATTCTGTTTGTAGATACAACACAAAATCCCTTCCCTCTTGTTAGGTGAACTGAACAATCCATAAGTATGTATGTATTCTAAATTCCTATTATGCTACAATCTTATTCAGCACTAAATGTCATTACTTAACACTTTCCATATTGTTCAAGAGCCACAACATAGCTCACAGCTGTATTCTATCTGAAGGTAATAGCAAGCAACAAAATACTATTTTCCCTTTCTGAAACTTGAAGAACAAATTCTAATGGAAACACCAATCATGAAAATATGTCCTTACTGCTTTAATTTCACTCCAGTTGGTCCAGCAATAAATATAGCAAAGAAAAATTTCAAGAAGTATGCATAAGCCCTTTTGAAAAAAAATCAGAATTTATGGCACTCTCAAAGACATCTGCAATTTACTTGCAGCAACTGCAATTGAAAAAGTTAAATCTAAACCAAGTTGTTGCATTCTTTTTACAGGATCCCTTCCTGACTTGGATGGGGAGAGAAAAGAAATACTGATCAAGTTAAGATAAGGCCAGTCTATACCTGCTTCCAAAAATCAACTGAACTGCTACTTGACCCAATACAAGAAAAGCATAAACATTTTGGCAACAGGTATCTTGAATAAAGCAAAGCAACTGTGCACTGCATTTGAAAAATCACTAGAGAGCACTAAAGAACAATTAATGGACATTCTTAAGTATTTGGAGACATTAATTATTAATTTATAGGATAAACTAAGAAGCTGCATTTTTCCAAAACAAAAACTATAATCTTGTCCGCTTTAAAAATCACTCAATTTTTGCACTAGCTCTTAAATCAATGTACTGTCAAATTCTTGAATTTCAACCTCTATTAACTATTATATTAATTTTTTTAGAGTACTCTTTTATTACAAATAAATGGGACCCTTAAAAACTATGTATATTGTCCCAGATCACACTAATACATTAACAAAAATGATGCAGTTAGAGAACATATATATGCAGTATCTTTTAAAATATTACTAAAATTTATAAACCTCTTTCCGGGATTGAGGGAGTGGAAGATGGGAAGGCAATTTAAAGAAAATCATGTAAAGCCTTCTCTGCGTGGCCCTGGTATTTCAGAAGAAATCTAAAAACTTCCTTTTACAGTAATTTTAAAGGAAAGCTATAAAACCATAAGTTCAGCTATGCTATCAGCAGAAAAGAATCACTTTGCCTTATAGGACCACCTAACCCTAAATTCAAAATAACTACAAAGACATATCCTACCTTCCAGTACACTAAAATTCATTCTCCAACTTATTCTATCACTTAGGTTTCAACCCTGGGTAGACCCTGCCTCAGAAACTGAGTGATATTATCCCTATCAGATGCTGGTGTGACGAAGAATTCAGTAACAACATACTGCAAACACAGTATAAGGTCCCTGTAGTTGCAGAACAGAAGGGTAACAAAATTAGGAGAGCTTCCCTTTATCAACAATGATGAACAAAAGATTAATGTAATCAGTGAATCAGTGAAGGAATGAATGGTCCATTAATGGAAAAGGATTAAGAGCTCTAGCCTTTCTAGATTTACAAATCCATGAAATCAGACCCTTGGGGGGGGGGGGGGGGGGGGGTGGAGTGGGGGGGGGGTGTAAAGAGGGAATGGTTAGGGAAAAACAAACAAAAAACAAAATAAAACAAAACACTGATGACTAACATAAGAAACAATCTCTAGCCTGCTCATACTACCATCCTAAAAAGTTCAGTCAACTCGTGGAGCATTTTGGCAGGGCATTCTGATTTTAATACTATTCCAGAACTGATAAATCATGTGTACACAGTATATGTATATACATATAAATGTATCTAGTTCTCTCCTTACAACAATGTTTACAAGTCTTAAGAAACTAACATCTATCTCTTGAAATAAAATATAGTATTCACTAGTATTTTGCCCACAAACACAGCTTATGAGCTTCCCTGGTTAACTAATTTGACATGTAGCTTTGATTATTCATTACCTGGTTATCTCATCATCTCCAAGCATTCCCTTGGGAATTGGTGAATATCGCCCTGGTGATGCTGGGGGCAGGGACTGTCCCAGGTAGGCAGATGGAGTGATATGGTTATCCACTGGCTGAGAATATGCTTCAAAGAGAGGGGGGGAAAAAAATAAACAAAATAAGCATTGAGGCAATAAGGAAAAAGAGCTGGAGGAACTGAAACCAAGTATTATAAAGGAGTGATCTCTTCTAAAAACCAAAATATAACAGTTCAAATGATACATTATAAACACCATAGCTCTAAAATACTGTGTCACATCTACATATTCCCCTGTCTTCTCACACTTTAAGTTAGTAAATAAATATTTCAGTTTGATTTGGTCTCAAAAAACCCTTTTTTCAAAACAAGACACTGTGGAAAGCTGAAGCCCATAAAGACAGCCTGGAGATTTATCTGTTTTTAAAATTGTCTTTAACTTGACTGAAGTCAGTTAAGAATTCCAGTTTCTTAAAACCACTATGTCAGAGCACCAGTGAAAAAGACAACATTTTAACATTACACTTCTTCCAAACTGTCAAGCTGCCTACCTCTTTCTTTTCAATGCTTTGATGTGGAGCATCCTAGCATCTCCAGAATACTCCAGGCCATTCTGATTAACAGGTCTGAAGCAGGAGGGATTTTACATTTCTTAGACACGTAACAAAACCATCTTTAATAGCATCGGTGCTCGTCGTGATGCTAGTATGTGCTCAGGCAACAGCACACATCAGGAAACAAAGGCAGGATTATTCTACCTCCTACTTTTCAAGGTAAGAAGCATAAATTTACTGAGAGGAATAAACAAGCTAGTGCAAAAAATTTCAACTGTACTGCAAGGGTCAGTTGGCTTCTTCACAGGTTCATTGATTAGAACTAGAAAGGAGTATTAAAAGGATTTAGTCTAACCTCTTGCGTAACAGGCCATGAATCCTCTCCCTGAAGTGCATATGTTTTACCTGAACCACAGCACACGTACTAGAAAAATTTAGCATCTTAATGATCTCAATTGATGGAAAATATTCTACAATTCCAGGAGAATTGTTTCAGTAAATAATTTAAGGGGTGCAATATATGTTCAAGTTAGGCACATCAATTTACACCAAGAGCAATCACCAGACATAGTCACAGTCACTGTCTCCTATTACAAAGCACATTCTACAATTGAAAATCTTTTTCCTACTACAGGTGCTTCAAGCTTTGAGGCTTAAACATGGAGGGTGGGGACACTTTGCAGATTCAATATTGAGGTTTCCAGATTTGCTCCGCTCTTATTTGCTTGCTATATCCGATGTGATACCTGACCTTTGAGGATTTATACTAAAGCCAAACCTTTTAAGTGAATAGACATGATACAGATTGCAGAAGCCATCTGTATATTCTCCTTCGTTCTTCTTTTAAACCATTAGCAAAACATTTGGATTATATACAAACTTCATCAAGAGTATTTTTATATAATAGATTCGCTAAATAGCCAGCTTTCAAATCACCCAATCTGCACTGCATAAATTCTGTATTACTCTAGATTCCGAGCAAATCTGTGTACAATAAATTCCACACATGGACTATGTATCACATCAGCACTGTCTTACCCTGATCAATGGTCTAATGAAAGAGGTACCAATCCAGATTGGGAATCACCTATAGTACCTTAATGCCTGGAGTATAACAACTGGTATCATATCTGATTAGCTGGATTGCTTCTTATTTTTTAAAGCTTTGTCACGGTATTACAGTTCTTTCCATTTTCTAGAATGTGTATCAGCAAGCATTACAATCCACTATTAACAGCTTAGGCAGTTTAAAAGCACTAGCTGATAAAGTAATTGTATTATTCAGACACACCAGCCCTCAGTGAGTTGCATGCTCTCGTCCGCCCCAGCATATTATGTAGCTTACATGCACTGGTAACAGACTGGGACAGTTTACTTACAATTTCAGAACTTGGGTTTTTTAGCCACACCAGCATTTTGGCAACAAATTTTCACAGTAATTACTAAACCATATGGCAATATTTACTTTTCAATGGAAAAAACTATGTATTTGAATACAACAGTATATTTCCATGTCACTGTACGTACTTTTTGTTGAAGGTGATACTTTAAAAAATTATTATTGTACATGGTTATTTTGTTTTTCCTCAGAAAATTTCACAGCTAAAGCACAAAAAAAATGGAATGCAGACTTTGAGCTCTTTTCCAGTTAGTGGAAAATGGGTTTTGATTTATAAAAACCTAAACAACTGCAGCACAGTATAGCAGCTCTGTACATTCTTTTCATGAATTAAATCTCATTTCACAAAATGAATTTACCACTGCTTTTAATGAGTCAGTGGCAGTTATAACAGTGTATATTTTATAGTAAATATTTAGATTTTTCATAACAAGTTCTATGTTCATTGACTTACAGTACTTTTCATTTGATTGTTTATAAGGTTTCTAAAGATTTTAAACTGCAGCATGTTCAGAAACATACATACCATCTAACACTGTCACATATTCTTATTTCTTAAATTTTGTATCCTTTCACCATGTAACTAAAACTCCACTAACAAGCAGTATAACAGTTTATTATGTCAGACCTGTGGACTGTTCCACATCAGCACTGGCTACATCATTTATAAAGTTCTACATATGCTACTTGCTTAGAAAAGTCAGGTCCTTTCTCAAGGCTGGTATTCTCAGTGCTTTGTAAGCAAACCTACAAGGCATAAAAAGGCTCTCTGAAGTTCCTACAAAAAAAAAAAAAAAAAAAAAAGAAAAAAAACGACAAACAACAAAATGTGCCTGCACCTTTCTTAGAACTGCTTTAGCTGGAGATTACACCTGAAGAATATTCACGAGGAACGTGATAGAAGTAAAAGGCAAGTCATCATTTTCTGATTCCTAAATCAGGTCTAAGATTCTATTTCCAAGTAAATATTTTTACTGGTGCTAACTGATAAGAGAACTGTGTTTTGAATGAAAAGAAGATTACATGCTTAAAATGAACTTGCTTTGACAAGAAAAGTCAAAGACACTTAAAGACACAGGAGAACAGTACTCAAATAACAATGTGCTTAGAAAGAGTAATCTTTCATAATTGCATTCTTCTTGAGTCAGAAAAGAGAGATGATTGTAAAGGAACTGTTTAAATTATCAATATGCACCTCAGGGGTTAAAAGAAAAATCTCACATAAGCATTAGAAACAGACATAGCAATCAACTACTCCAGACTGTCAAGGGCTGTGGTCAAGCCTTCATCGCCCATACACATACCACTCACTAGAGTTACAGCACACAACCACGAGCTATTTTTTCCACATTCATTCCCTACTAAATGCTCTGGTGTGAGACAGCCTCAAGTCTTCTTTAACGAGATTTTCAACATTAACTTTCCCCCATGGGCAGCCAGAGGCCATTCACTCACTCTGGTAAGTATCAAATGATGAAAGTAAATTTTCAGCCCCAGGTGTACAATGTTGGCAGGATCTATAATCTTCTCAATAAATTCTACTATAAATCAGACTCAGAAACCTCTTGATCAAATGTCCCTCGATTCAAAGACACTAACCCCAAAGAAATATCAAATTATTTAATTATCTGCCTCTGCGCAGATTTAAGAGATTCCATAGTGAAAGGAGCAATACGTATTACTTCTCCTTTATGCTGGGCCTGAACTCCTAAGAACTTGGATAAGAGGATTCTGATTGACAGAAATATGAAGGAGGATTGCAAATACATTTCTCAAAACAGCTGCAGGTGAGTAGGTAAAGAAGGAAAACTGGTAACTGTTTCAACACTCACTCACAAACCAGGTGATTCTAGAAAATACGTCTTTAATATCTGTCATCTGGAAAAAGCTCTTCAGAGTCCCTAACTTAAAGCTCCTGATCCAGGTACTGCTCTGCTAAATGCAGTATCACTTTTGGAGGTCTCATCTGAGACAACAACGAAGGTGCAAACAAACCTTGAAACGGCGGCTCTGAAAACATCAGCTTCTAAAATGCTATGTGCAGGAGCCACCATTTTTTGTTATGAGTTCTATCTGATTAAGCAGCTCGTTACAGAAAGTGGAGGCTTTCTAGTTGCAAAGTTATAGTACTCCTTTATAAAGAAGCAATAGCCTTCACGGAGATTGGTATCTCCCTTTGAAATTTCCATTGTAAATGTGATAATAATGAGGGTATTGAAAAAGCTTTTGCTCTGCCCTGTACTAGAGAAACAGCATCTAGCATCTTAGCCATATGCATTTTGTTTCTCATAAGTGAAAGATTTCAGAAAAGGCTAAACTGATTTCCTCGAGTTAAGCGATTAAACACCTCAGGAAAGATCTTTGGATCTCTTTGGTGTGCTAAGTTCAGGCAGTAGATCCAGAGTCTCCATGCTGGCTGCAGTAATAGCCAGCTGTACATTGATCAACAGAGGCACAAGCATATGAAGCCTAGGGTAGGAAAGGCTTTCCTGTTGTAAGGAAAAGAAACAGACTGAAGTTTCATCAAAGGACCCAGAACTTCGCAGAAGAATGTTCTTTAGTTAACAGTTGACAAAAGTCTACCAGAAACAGCGTAAAAAAAGAGTAACATCAGACAGAGAACTGAAGGTTAACACTGCAGCTAAATGAAACAAAACTCAGAAGATCTACTCAAAAGCACGGGCAGCACTTTAGTCCACAAATCTTGTCAAAGGTCACCGAAGGACAGAAGACAGACAGACAGCTAGAATCTGAGAAATCTTGTGTGATTTTTTTCAAAATGCATCAGCAGGAGAAAGGTTCCCAGAAGAAGCTGCTGAGGCTTGAGGGGCATGACAGCTCAGGAGATTGGCTTTTCACTGCTCAGTGAACACAAGCACCACTTCACACAAAGAACAGAATACTGGGCTGCACAGAATGACACTGTCTTTCCAAAGGCCCACTTACAGGGAGAGCAGTCAGAGAGAAACCTGGGAGGGATGATAGTAATGGGACAAAAGAAGGCCTACATGTACGACCAGGTCATTTACTTCCACAGAATGGATATGAGATTGTTATATATAGTGGAAAATTAAGGACTCAAGGCAAGATGGCAGTGTACATCCTCATGGCAATTGTGTGCGATTACTCTTGACAGAACTTTCCTGAAGATCCAACAGATATGATAAGAAGGTGTTCTTGAGGATACTACTGTCTCTTTTATGGCTCTGTGTTATGATGCAATGAACTTCAGTGAACTAAGTCTCCAGCTCATCCATCATTTGGAAGGATTAATTCACTGCATGAGAAGAGTGCCAACAGCATGCCCTTACAGTAGCGCACAATAGTCCTTTAAAAGTACATATTGCTACAGATAACGTGAATCTAGAAACAAAATAATCACCCAAAGCAGAACACCAACTTGTAGTCAAAGAGGAAACATGACTGCTGCTTTGAATAAGACTCTCAGCAATCTGATCCCACCTACCTAAGACCGGACTACTGAACTACAGTACTGAGAATCAGCCACGTTGAGTGTAGTATCTCTGTTCTTAACTTTTTGAGTCTACAGGCAGTTGTTTTAAGATCAAAGTATCATTTAATGAACAGTACCAAAGCACATGAAAATTTAAAATGAGAATATACATTTACATCCAACCATTCCTTTATGATTGCCTAGTAAAGGAGTAGATTTGTCAAAACCTATTACAGATTCCTTCCTCCACTCACACAAACTGACAAGTTTCAGTTCAGTTTTTCTCACTAAAGAGATTAGCTGTCCTCTAAACTGCTACAATGATTTGTTCTTTTTCATTTAAGCCTTATTCCAAGTTGTTTTTTAATAATCAGGGGCACTGAGTAAGAGTTATTAAGTATGATTTTTGACAACATCAAGGTATCACTGGGTTATTAGAATTGGGCAAATTATCAGGAACCAGATCCTTCTCCACCTTCACCTTCCCCAAACTTACCTGAGGCTTTCCCTTTGCCCCCAAAAAAGATTTATAGAGTAAATACCCCAATGACTGAGTTGTAATAGATAAGATACTTCAGTAGTATTATCTATTACAGTAGTAATAGATAATATACTTTTATTTTTTGGTCACATCACCATTCACAGCAGTGTAATTGCATTCCTGTAACATTACCAGGAACTCTACATACAAATCAGGTTCCTTTCGTTCCAGAAAATCTGAATTCAAAGTGAAACATATGAAGAGGTCAGTTACAACAGACAGAGAAAAAGAAGTCTGCCTTCCAAGGACATAATGGGAAAGGTTGAATTATTGGACAAACTACATACCATAAGGGAAAATGGTCGCTCTCTAACCACATATATGAACATAAAACTGGGGATGAATAATTGTAGGCTGAAAATTAGTTTTGTATCAAAGAATGGAGCCTTCAAGAGCATCTTTCTAAGAAGACAGTGAAGACAAAATCTAATTAGCTTCAAATTGTAATTTAGTAAGTTTACAAAGAGATGTAAAGATACTGTAGTTATTGCCAATAAATGATGGGCTTATAAGGTACTTCAGTCCTTTGTTATGCTATACATTTGTTTGTTGTTCTTTACATACTGTTTTAGATTACATAAGTGGCTTTTTAGACCAAAAGTGTTCCTTTCTCCATATGAAGTAATATCATATCAGTGCTACATATCAGTTATTTGTATCTAACAGCGCAAACCAACACAAACCTCAAATAACTCTCAGCCAGAAGCATTTTATGTGACAAGATGAGTAAAACTAGTCATCCAGACAAGTCCACCTATTGAGTTTTGGAAACATATGGTTATACCATTCTCATGCCCTTCTCCAAAACACTAAATGGCAATATCCCTCTTGAAGAAACAGTACATTAAATTCAAATTTTCTCTGCATTGTAGTTCAACCTTGAACTTTCCATATTTGGACGTCTGACTTCAAAAAGACTCCTGTAAGTGCTACCCTTACGTCAACAAGAAATCCTTATAACTATTTTCAATATAGTATTCATTGTTTTTCCATTTTATTAATCAACAATCATGTCAAAATTGAAGTAAGATTTCAAATAGGTTAACATGGAATTTCGTAACACATTTGCAAGCAGGCAGACATGAAGACCTCCCCCTCCTCCCAGTCCAGTTTATTCAAATACATGCAGCTCATGAAAAAGAAGGAAAACAGAAAAAAACTAAGTCAGAACATCACTAAGTTCTACCTGAAGCAATATTTCATTTTTGCTCAGCTCACAGGACACTGAACATCTATGCAGTGCACGTTATTTGTCACGCTTCACAGGTTCCAGGAGAATGAGATACATGTTTTCCTTGTACTCATCAGCAAGTGATCAGAACCATTGAGTCCCTAGGGCTAGGCCACAGCATTCATGGAAACACACTAAGAGCCCCATTGTTGCTGCCTTTTCAGTAAACAAGCTATAGGATATCATCCTGTTCAGCATACAGTTTTCATGATTGATCAACTTTCTTATATCAGATTTTCACACTGTATAATTTTAAAAAGCTTCAAACTTAAAATACTAAAGACAGGGTATGTTGGAGCTTTAAAGGAAAAAATAATCACATCACAAAGATAAGATGAACTTACAGTTTGTGATGTCAGGAGGGGCATAACTGTCATTCATGAACATGCTGGTGGGTTTTGCAACTTTCAGATAAACAAAGTCAGATGTGTTTTTTAAGGCAGTCACTGCTTCTTCATGAGTAACTTCTTCTAAGCAAACACTGTTCACCTAAAGAGAAAAAAATAAAAAATTCTCATACAGAAAAAATGTACCTTTTCACACGACACTCACTGAAAGCTATTGGAGCACTCTGGCATTGAGTAAGTCTTTATTAGGATTCATGTGCCACAGACATAATTGGTTATGTAAAAGTTGTATGAGAGACACCTTGTAGTACTGTGAAACATAAGACAGACAAGTCTTTCCTCAAAAGATTATGATAAACTGTATTGACTGTAACATTGTAAAGAAGGCACACATGACATTGGAAAACTAACAGGACATATGTGACACTCAAAATTCCAACACAAATCACAGCACTGACATAGTGTGTTATTGCAAGCATTAAGCAGAAGATAGTTTCTTTTAATAAGTATAAATCCTACATGATCTTACCATGACATAAGTTCTAGACATTATAATGGGACAACATATTCTTGCAAGAGATCCAAAGTAGGGGGTCAAGACTGAAGAAAATCCAAAGTGTCTGATTTACGGGCCAAGTAACAGGAACTAGCTTAACCTCACAGGCAACAAATTTTTTAAACTATTGCTATTAAGGTGAAACACTACCACTTCAGTTTAAAAAAAAAAAAATCCTTTAACAATTAGTATCTCTCATAAAGCCTTAAAAAATTGAGTTGCTGACCCTCTCTTCTATATTTTGAAGAGGGAAGTAACTTCTGAAGATAATTCCAGGTAACATGGGAAAGAAGGCTTGTACTGCACTGAACCTGAGGGACCAAAGACACTTTCCTCTGATTACTTAAGTACTGTGTAAAAACAACTGCCAATTGCTGTTTGTCAGGGATAAACTCTACTGCGTAAATATATTCTTTCCTTCTGTATTTTCTAAAAGTTTCATAAAACTTTTCCAAAACCTTTTCAATTTTTTTAAAAACTATTTAAATTCCTACCACTCCTGATGACTGAAAAGTCCTTTTGCAGTGCATTGGTAATTGCAGTAAAACCTAAACACACACAAAGTTACACTCTGCAAAATACAGGAGCTTATCTCTACATTAGTGACTGAAGCTTTGACTAAGTGTAATTTAGCTAATTAGAAGATACTATAGATGACATTTTACTCACTTCTTAACTTAATGAACTGAGGGAACGATTACAGCTACAATAAATTAAGACATTGTACTTGCGATATCCAATAACTTACTGCATAGGCTCCTTGCATCCCTGAAACAGTATCTGATACTAATCCAAGGCTACTTCATTTAATTTTGTCGTGCAAATTTTTTATGGATAAAGTAATAGTGGACAAAATAATCTGTTGCAAAAGTTTGATATTTCTAACAAAAATTCCTTAAAACTTCCCATATACTTTATGATATAAAGTAGCTAGCATAAAATTTTCTGGTACAGGTGATAATTTATAATACTGGAAAGCAATTCGACATTAAAAGGAAGATTTCCAGTACCCTTCCATTGTGGGGAAGTCCTACAATTAAAACACCTCCTATGATGCAGACTTTAAAAATCTAAAAACATTAAGTATTAACAGCATTATCATTAAGTAGCTGAATCTTTGGGTTTGGGAATTTTCATGGTATATGCAGCTAAGAATAAATATATTTTCTCTCTCTCTTTTTTCCTCCCAGTTCTCAGGCAAGGATTTGCTCAGAACTACCCATTGTAATACCTAGATCTCATTCCTGACGCTTAAAAAAAGAAGGATTCTTTAGATAAAGAGATAATCCCAGGATTCTTTATCTTTAAGTAGCTTCAGTTTTCCCAGTTCTGTATTTGTAAGTGACAAACTTATCCAAAAAGTCTTTTTACCAAAAATTGAAAAGTTTGCATTACACATTTAGAGTCAGTTCCTTACTGTTTGAAGAGCAACAGAGCATGTCTTCTGCTGTCATGTATTCTGACTACAGATGTGAGCACAGAAGCAGGTACTGCCTGGCAGAGGGTAGGAGTGTGGAGCAACTACACCTTACAAGAGTTGAGTTTACAATTCAGAAATTAATTCAGAAATTTCTGGCTCTGGACAACTAGATTTGTGGATGGAATTTAGGGAAGCTTTAAAGTTATTTTGACTTTGTGCATAGAAAATTCAACTTTGAAGCTTTAAAAAAAAAAGCCATTCAAAAGCATTATGAACACTGAAATCCAATATAACTAGAAGTTTCACTACAGGCTATCCAGGCACAAGTACAGGGAGTTCCTTTCCATTCTTCTTTTTTGAGAAGATAAACCATCCATCACTCAGATGGCAGGAAAATAATAGCAGGCATCAGAAATAAACACGCTCATTAATACAGTTTTTTTCATTAAACATTGGGCTGAGCAACAGATTTCACATTTCCTGATGAGAAGGTGTTGAACGCTGCAGATTTAATTTTTATCATTGATTTCCTGGCAATATAATTTTTTTACTGATTTCTATGAAATAACACTCCAGCAGCAGGCAGCTGAACAAAAGTGAATCATGCCCTTACTGGGTCTAAAAGTGAATGACAAAAATGCAGCTCCTACTTACAGCTAAAAGTTTGTCTCCAATCTGAAGTTTGCCATCTTTATGTGCTGCTCCACCTTCAATGATTTTGGTTACATAGATGCTGTTGTCCCCAGGTATATGCTGATTTCCTACACCACCAGCAATACTGAAACCAAGACCTGCTTGAAGATAAAGTCATTACTCAAGAAACCTTTTAGAAGTCACTAGATTCAAATTATTATCTAAATAATAATGCTATTTGTATCACACGTACTTATATATAAAAGTATTCGGCTCTGGCTGAAGCAATACTGGATGCCTTTCCAAATGAACTTAATAATTTTCCAGAAATTTCTGAAAAGGATCTAACATTTACAGAAGTTCTGAAAATCAAAAGCTAAATATTTTCCTCATGCCTTGTGCAAGACGCACACAGCAGTTATAGCATCACCACTGATATTTAAAGAACCATTGTCCAACATTTACCCATACAGAAACAAAATAATACTTTCTCTAAATGATTTTTAATCCCTCAAAGATCCTTTCTGTGTAATTCAACTAAAAATTTTACTCCCATTTGTAATGTACTTAAAAAAGACTAAATACTCTCAGAAACACAATTTTATCATTTGAAAGAAAAATACGCATTCTATAAGAACAGTTTCATGAAACATGGATGAAAACTCAGATGCATTTGAGAAGCTGGTGTCTTATTTTTCATTATTCTGCATTTCCTCGTACTTCATATGCAAGGTACTATTTTATTTCAAAAAATAAACGCAGAAATCTATCATCCAGACTATCCTTGTGAGAGAACACACACCTTTAGGGCCTTTTACAAGTTTGATTTCCACTATTTTTTCTGTGACTGGTTTTCTTCTTTTGACGTACAATCGTACAATTGATCCCGCTTCTTTCAATGCTTCAACTGCTTTGCTATGTGTCACATCACGAACATCCACCTCATTTACTCGTAGAATACAATCGTTAACCCTAGAGACAGCAATATTCATGTTCAGCTGTTGTGTTATACCAGAGCAGACATATTAGGAGCCCAATATTCTATGTGCAATGCACTAACACACATGTTAACACATTAAGATACGTAGATTTTGCTTCAAAACTATATTGATTCAAGACAATGTTCTGAAATTATTAGCGTTTAAAAATAAAACAAGGATCACTAGAAAATATATAACAGGAATATTTTGTTTGCAGCCAAAGAGAGCACCATCTTATGTGTGTCTCAAATTTAAAAATAATTTTGAACAGAGCTTCATACAAACTACCTTTCATTTACAGTATAAGAAAGAATTAAAATCAGAAAATAAGAGGCACACAATGAGAACACACTAGTTTTAAGCCAAGATATGAACAAGTCAACCTCCATTCCTGCTTTACACGAGCTATTTAAGCACTGGCATTCCATACCATTTACCATGTCGCTGTAGTAAAACCTAGCTCATTACACAAAGTACAATGCCTGACCCACCTGTCACCATGTTCTGACAGATGTACCTCTGACAATGGCCAACAAGCTAAAATGAAGCCTTGAAATGAGCTTATTATGACTAAAAGCCACAATGCATCAGGCATTTGCACCAAAAACGATAGGGCAAGTTCTTCACAGCAAAGGAGAAAAAAGCTGGTCCTACAACCAGATGTGTTTTTTTCCCCACACAGTGATACAGGTGTATACTTAAAAGACTGTTCTGGTTTAGAAAAATAATTTCTTAATGCAATTTGTTATTAACTTCTAACATTATTCTTCAAAGGAAGTTGCAAATATCACTAACTACCATCTAGTAATATGCCAACATTTCCTCACTAGGAGTTAAATAGTAGTATCAGTCCACAATTAAATACGAAAATGGGAAATACTGGAGAAGGAGTACACATTTTAAAAAAAAAGTATTGCTTTTGAAGATGTGTAGTATCTTTGAAAAATTAAGACACAGATTTATAGCAAGCATGAGAGGGTTGTTATTAAGCTCAACTATTTTACAGATCAGAAAATTTGCACATAGATAACTAGGAGTTACCTATCCTATCTGTCTAAGCTCTTCCTTTGTCTGTTGATTAAGGACTACAGAAGATATAGCATAATCAATTTATATCACTGAATAGAAAATATAAAATTCACTTATTTCACTTAACTGCAGATTTTACTGGTTGGAAAAAAATTGGTTCACACAAACATTTCTTTTTTTATTATTTCAAAAATACTTCTGTAAGAAAAACTTATTTAAAATGTAATGTAGCATGACAAAACTACTGAAAGTAACAGAAAGTGTTCTATCCAGTGTTTGAAAATATAATAATAAACATTTAGCAAACCAACACAGAAAGTCATCATACCGTAATCTTCCATCCTGTGCAGCTGCACCCCCAGCTATAATTTTTGTAATGAAAATACTTGAATCATCCCCAATATGTGGGTTGTCTGTACCACCTGCAATGCTAAAGCCAAGTCCTGAATTTCCCTAAAGGTAGAGGGGAAAAAAAATTTATACATTTCTTTTTTGGAGAAAAGATATTTTAGTATATCTGTTTGATTCAATATAGAATCAAATCAATATAATTTTCACTGAAATAATATTAAGACACTTTAAGCAGTATACTACATATAATCATATGTAAAATGTAATTATACTTATTTTCACAGAAATACGGAGAACTTAAGTCACTGTGTAACTGTAAGAGACAGTTCCAACACCACAGCCTTCTCTTTGAAGTGAGTTTGATGAACTAGACACGAACTTCCCTCTCTAATGAGCTAGATCTTTAAGACTATTCATATGAATATTTGCTTCTCATTTAATCATTAGTGACAAATTATCCTTCCCAGAGAAGCCCCCAAGCAATTTGTGTCACATATGTAATATATCCTCACAGATACAAAGATTCAGACTGACATTTCCTCCCCTACTGCCAATTGCAAGACTTCTTCACCCTCTGAGTAACAACCAGAACTGCACAGGTATCAAAGACAACCATTTCTTTCTTTTTGTTAGCAGTGCAGCTCAAGAAGAGAGAACTGAGATAAATCTCAACATTGTAAACCTAACAAAGCAATGTGTATGACAAGGTGTCACTTTTAATCTCAACTGGAAGCCAGACTCTCAATCTAAAACTTAATGGTACAAATAAAGGCCTATCATAAATAGCAATATAGAAAATGAAATAATTTGTGTTATTACTCTCTGCAAGCCTAGATAATAACATTAAATGCAGTATGTCTCAGAGAGATCATTCCCCCATTTTTCTCCTAATGTTCAAGGATATTAACAAAATTTTCTTTAGGTTAAATAATCTACCTAAAGGAAAAAAAAAAAAAAACAAAAAAAAAACCACAACCAAACAGTAAGGATTGGTTTGGATTGTCATTTAGCAGTATCAAGAGGTTAATTTTTCATATTAAAGTATCATAAATCCCATCTAAAACAGAGTACAGAATGACATTTAGCATGTTACCCTTTCAAGAGTAATTTCTTCATACTCATAGTCTGCATCCGTGCCATTGACCTATAAGAAAAGAAGAGGGAGACTTACAGAGAATTTTACACTTCAGACAATACAGTTTGCCGGCTCGGAATTCACTCCCATCAAATCTCAGATGATTCACAGTGACCACTGAGGTCAGGGGACGTGTGATTTTCACACTGCTCTGTACATGAATCAGACACTCTTTTTGTATGAGCTTAAAAGATTTCAGAGGGCAGACTGTTCTACAAAGATACTGTAGAGCTGAGGCCCTCTGCTTCTGATTGCCAGAAAAAAAAAAGAAAAAATGCTCTTGAGATCCTCAGGTGTTCCTCAGGCCATGTAGCAAGTTGAAACTGAGAAAAAAGGAAGAGGTTGTGGGGTAGAGAAGAAATTGTATAGAACAACAGAGCAGTATTTTCAAACTGTTGTTCCTCTTAGAGCATAGAAAAACCAGAGCCTGATGCTTTATACCATTTCTCAATGGGTAAGACCCTCCTAAAGCAACATTTAACAACTGTTTCTATCACTATTTATCAAGTTACAGATATACTAAAGATCAATAAATTAAAACAGGACCAAAAGCAGAAGAGTTTAGAAGAATATTTTATAAAGCTAGATGAAAAACTCAAATACTGGAAGCCTCATCATCCTCAAGTTGGAACGGTTACCCACATTCTTTGTTGCCTACAGAACTAACACAAAAATCAAATAACGTTAGTACCAAATATCCGAGTGAAAACAATTAAATATCAAATTCTTAGTCACATTTAACATAAAAGTAACATTTAGATTTTTTTTTTCCAATTACTAAGTTACCTTGGAACTCAAATTCTTTCCTCAACAGATATCTACAGCAGCATACACAACATGCAGCTACAAGCAATGCCCTATTCCAAGCCTTTCGGGATGAAATATTTAACAGGACAAGAAATAACGTTTATACTATTATTTTAGAAAGCATCTTGCCTATTACAAGATTCTATATCCGGTAGTTTTCTGTACTCTTAACATACTATTAAAGATTTCATAAAGATACAAAATATATGTATAGAAGAAAGCATTTTAAATCTGTACAGTTTTCTAGCAGAGAATTAAATAAGGGACTTGAATTCACCCCAGACATAATTAAGATCGCATCTACTTCATTCCTCATATGCTTATTTAACATACTTAAAAGCTGCAAAAGCTGGAGATACCACAACTTTCACCAGCTGTCTAATATCAACCTCATTCATCCCTCACTACAGTTTTTCCTCAATCTCTAATTATATTTCCCCTTAACACAACAGAAGCCATGTCCATTCCAGACATAACAGACTATTATCATCTTTGAGCAGTACCTCAAAAATGATTATGTCCTTACTACCTCGTTCAGTGGAAAAGATACTGTGGTTTTAACACATGATATTTCTCCATTAAAAAGGGAAGAGGTCTTGACCTTCTGAATACATGAAACTGTATCTATTACTACATCAATACAAAAGAAGCCACTGTGATGAAGTTTTTATGTTAGCTTAGTCCTTAAGCTATTATCTACAAGAATGACAACATGTGCTAACTGAACCAGTCATCCAGCATTACAATACATGGGAAATGGTTCATGATGACTGATCAGTATGTAGCTTTTCTTCTTCTTCTTTTTTTTTTTTTTTTTTTTTTTTTTAAATAAATAAAAAGGACAATTAATGATTTCTCTATTCCTTACCATTAGGCAGAACAAAGTCAATCCTGGTACATTTAGGCAGTAACTTGCTTATTTCCATGTACAAAACTGTATAACCCAATTTTAAAATATCGAGATAAACAGGGACAAATATAATTTTTCACTGTCCTAGTCTACTTTTGCAAGTTTTGAAGTTTTCTCAGATCCACTAAGCCAAGCTTTATTTTCAGGGACCTCCCCTGGATTAAGGAAGTTTCTATACAAATGCTGTAATTATGCCACAGCAATCTTCTTGGAATCTGAAAACCTATTAGTAGTTCAGCAGAATTTGATTAGAGCCTTCTGGCTGCACTGAAGTTAATTTCTCTGGTATGATTAATCTAGTCACGTACCACCAACTTGATTTTTGTTTGTATTTCCTTGGGCTTTTACAAATAATAAAAAAATTATGCTTCTTGGTGTGTTTATTTTCAATCCCGTTTGAGTTCTAAGAGGGCATAATTCCTCAGCAGTTTTATGATGCAGGTAACAAGAGCTGTGTTCTTGACCATTTGTTCCTTGATGTCTTGCTAGATTCATAGTTTGTTTTTTTCTTCTTTCAATAGAAAAAGCTTTAATAGTCAAGGTTTTTGTAGAACCATGATGCAGTTACTTACCTCACAAGTATAATTTCACATATCTCTTAACAATTCCATGAGCTACTCAGGAACCCAGAAGAGTATTCTTTTACTCAACTTCCTATTCTTACAGAGTAGGTTAGATTACAGATAGTTATAGGCTTGCTTGTTATACATTCACTGAAAACTGATAATTTTGATAGTTTATAATTTTCAGTGCCAGTTTGTTCTGTTAATGCTATTTGCTCTTCCTATTTCTACTATCTACTGTCCTCCACATGCCTCTATCACATGGGGCCTTCTGAAATGTGATTACGTATTTATTAATCACTTTTCATCTCGGTTTAGTTTGTGTGTGCAAGCAGACACCTCATCTTCAGTATGATTTTTCTAAACTGTATCTGCATCACATCAATAAAAGAGCAACACACTGCAGGCTACTGCTGTGATCTTTTAGTCAGAGACATCATTATTATACTTGGGTCTCCTTTACCAGCCAATTATGTCACTGTACTAATCTTTTGTCTTCTGCTTAAATTGTTAATTCACATGTTTGTCTGTCTTGAGTTATTACTGCTGCTTTCTAGCAATGTTGATAAGTTATGAATGCTTTTTGACAAGGACAAGATTCACTCTTTACTTGCTAATACCAGTCCTTAGAATAAACACAATATAAAGCAACTAGTACAGGCATTAACACTGTTCAGGAAAACAAGCAAGTGGGATATGAGTAACTGTAGGAGGAAGGTACTGGAGGAAAATTCAGACCTGAAACCTATGCCAAACCTACATACAATCCACAGCCTCTGAAGTCTCTATCTGCCAGTGGTATTCCGTTGCAAAACACACACTGCCAAACACAAATTTTAGCCTCCACATAACTACACGTAATACCTTAATGTTTCAAACAGAACCAATCCATTTGTAGGAACATTTAGAGCACTGAAATCTTAAGTATACCCAGTGCATAAAGTAGTGTTTTTATGAGAAGTGCAACAGAAATGGCACATTAAATATTAAAGCATCTGTCTGCACAGTTGAAGAAACAGATTGTTCTCTGAACACTGAACCTCTGGAACCTCAGGCAACTGTGTTTTGCACTGACACATTGGTACTTACACAGAACTTTCCACCTGCAATCTACAACTATTTTTTTTTTTCTTGAATAAGCTATTTAAGGACTTCAAATAACCGTCAGGACAGCTGACAAAATCAAGCATCATCAAAGAGGTAAGATAAGTGTTATTAAACACTAATAATAGACATACACAACCACAAACATAAAACATTATCTAAAGTTATAATTGAAAGCAAATGTAGGCTTACATATGTTGGAGTCTCCAAAGAATCTGTATTCACCAGCACCGGAGGGGGATTTGCCTTTAATAAAATAATTAAAAAAAAAAAAAAAAAAAAACAAAACAAAAAAAAAAAAAACAACAACAAAAAAAAACCAACCAAACAAACAAACAAAAAAAAAAAACAGCATAAGAGAAAGCAGTACTAATGGTAATTATACAACATTTAATTTGCTGTGTTTCTCAAGGTTCTGTTAAAAGGTAGTCTTAGCTCAAGAATCTCAACAATTCACCTTTTGAAACACTTGTTTCTACCTTGAAGAAACTGCCTACATGCCACAAAAATCACACTCTTCCAGAATTCTGAGCTCATATTTTATATACAAGTTCTGTCATTTATTATCTTGGTTTTCAAAAGAAAATCTGAGTCGTGGTATCATTTGACATGATACCAGTTACCCTAGTATTTGTGGTGTGACATTCAGAAGTTGCTTTACCAATCAGTATCTTAAAACCAGATTTTGGTGGATTTTATTTCTCTTTCTTCCTACCAGGAACACTTTTCTTTTCACTCCTCTCTTCATTCTGCAAAATGGAAACTTACAGTAATGCAAATTTATAGAAGACTAGATCTTCAAACTGACTTGTGAAAGCAAATCCACAGCAGACATTAATCCACCACACAGCAGCACGTGCTCCATCAGAAAACTGTTATGCATTCACAAGCCATAAGCACAGATTATTGCTACAAAAATAAGAAATAGTATAGAATTCTTGCTAGACAGGAACTGGTAGTATAAACTAACACTTTTTACTCTCAGATTACTGAGAATTTTTCTGTGAAAAATGTGCTTTCACCTGAAAGAAAATCTGTACAGACTGCTGGCATTTATCTGAAACACTTGCAAATAAACAGATTTCCTATTTTTGCATCAATTATCTACCTTTAAAATAGGCAGCGTCTAGCCTGCTTTAAGAACAAAAGGCAACAACAAAGAGTACAGAGTCCAAATACTGTTGATGTATTAAGTTCAGTGAGACCTACAAACTCAGAGGGCACAAAGTTCATCTCCTTCCAGCTTTAATAAAGCTGAGATGTTTTTAAATATGTATAAAAATCCATTATCTTTAAAATTAATGTATTCTTTTTTTTTTTTAATCTCTTATGTGTGCATGGAAATAAATTTAGGGACAGTTTAACAGGCTGCAATAGAAGCTAGTGTTAAACTTGTCCAAAGATACACTTAAGACCTACAAAAACAATTATGTTAACCTATTCATATTCCGCATTTCAGTTTCATTACCATGACAACAACATACTTTTAAAAATTAGGAATTCTTCAGAAGCTCTCAAAAACTAGGAACTGAGTGATGACTCAGAAGTTCCTTATAAAAAACGGAGATAAATAATCTACCATTGCTAGACAGGAATCGTCAATCTGCTATCAGGTTGCTGTGTCAGAAATTAGACCTGCACCATTTAATAAGTACTAAAATCATGTGGTATCTACACAAGTTAACAGAGTAGACTATTAAAAAAAATAAATAAATAAAAAGGATGGCACTTATGAGACTGTCAAGATGCCATCAAACACCTTTCTTACCCAGTAATTCTCTCAGTAGAAGCATGGGCACACTTTATGCAGTACAGCAGTACAGAAATCGAGCGGTAGCTAGTAGTATCATAATAAAAGTCTCTGACAAAAACAATGCTACACCATCCCTGGAACAGCTTTACAATTAATACAATTTCAAGAAAACCAGAACAGAACAATACATTGTATTAAAAAGAACCTGACTGAATATGAGGCATTAGGTGTCTAATTTCCACTGGATCTACAAGAGACCAGCATAAGTGTATTTATTTTATATTAGTATATCACCTATGAAAACACTTTTAGTTTATTAATAGAAAACAAAACAAGGATTAATTTTGAAATTTCAGTCACATTCTTTACATTTCACTCAACTTTGGAATTTATTTTAAATATTAGGATTTTGTAATATCCAAGTATATTCAACAAGGGCAGTGCCAGAGTAAGATGGTTTCTCATTAATCTTTTTCTTGAGGTTGACAAGTGGTGTTCTTTTAATGTTTGAAAGAGGAAGACTAGCTAAAAGCAAATTGCTATGAGTAGCTGAGGATTCTACGTGAACAGTATGTTTGAGACACAAACTAGCCAACACCTCCCATAAATTAATTGATTGTGCCTAACCGTCCTTCTGCATTTATCTGAATTCTCCATCAAGAAGCAGTAATTTACCATCATTTCCAAGCAGGAGGGAGAAGAGCTTTGTGCCCGGCATTCCAAAGGTACACCTGGACACTGTAAAGACAAAGGGCAACATCCAACTCATAACATTGAATGTTTCTGGAAGGAAGACCAGGTTTTTCAGGCTGTTTTGCAAGAGTTCTCCAAATTACCTAACACTTTCAAACTTCTGTGCCAGGGCTTGTTCAGATATTTAAAAGCCATTTGACAAGTTTGTTTACAAGCAGACTAAGGACTTGCCTAAGGGGTGAAGTGATTAACAAACTAGAAAGAGCCTATTGCACAAAAATGCACCTGCCCAATCCTAAAATGATTATAACTTCCTATGGTATTTTCTATTAGCTCAGAATCACAAATGCTAACTCCTGTGGATGTTTATATGCACTCAGAAGACAGAGTCACAAACCACTCAATTCCTAGTCTTCTGCTTGTAGTCCAGCACCATCAATGGACAGTAATACTGTCACAGCAATGGCAGTCAAAGAAAATATAAATATATATAGCAGTAATTATTTTATTTTAATTTAAGTTTAGCCTACTGGCAATTCCTTGAAAGTAAATGCTACTGGAGACTCAGTTGTCTTTGTCCACCAAGGCTGACAACAGAAGTTGACTGGTCTGTCTATCTGCCTCAAATTCTGATGTGGGCAGAATCTCTCTAAAAAAGGAAACATCTCTCAAACTAATCAAATCTCTGGTCTGCCTGTTGGGAAGAGTATGGGTAACAGATTCATGTAAACACACATCCACTAGAAACTGCATTATAAAACATCTAGCTGTAAAAACTTTTGACAATTATTGGATTATGTAAAATTTAACAGTGTAGCAGAGATAAAAAAAGACTACCACCTGTTACAAGTTTAGCCACATAGGTTGAAAGCAGATCTTAGGGGAAAAAAAAAAAAACTTATGTGTAATACTACAAAAATATCCCAGTAGTATTCTGGATAGCTTAATTCCCTTTTAGGGTTAATAAATATCTGTCATCAAACAATTCCAAGGAATGACACATCTTTTCAGAAGGCAGGCACTCGTCGTTTCAAATTTTTGCACCAGAAGTTACAAAAAAGTAAAAGTACAATGCCATTCTATACGCAAAAATTTAACTGCTACCTCTCCTAAAACACGTATTCCAAGTTATATACAAGATACTGATGTCAACTCGTGATTACTGCTTTCACTTGTCTTGACAGGGTTGTTTGCTTGTTTGTTTGTTTTTTTCCTCGTGTTGACATTATGTTTATGTGATCTAACGGATGAAGGTCCAGAAGGGAAGCACATTTTATGAGTCAAATATGTTAGGAATAGAGGGGTAGGAAAAAAAAAAAAAAACAAAAAACAAACAACTTTTGTATTCTAAATGCCCCCAAGGACACTAATACCAACAAATGTCTGGAGAATGTCCTGCAAGTGCAATTGATGAAAGACATCTACTAAGTATTTGTATGAGATGAGACAACAACTTTCTATAAATAAATCAATAAATAATGCTTTAAAAAGGGTGAAATGGCTCTAAAATTATTATGTGAACACAAAATATCCTACTGCTTCTTTCCATTCTTTTGGCATTTTTTTTCCTTAGTTATTTCACAACTTACTAATATACTTCCAAATGAAAATGTAAGTATTTTAAATGGATGAAAATCTGCTATAGAACAAACAGAAATTAGGATGAAACTTTAGTGTATTACTAATTCAGCTATTTCACAGTTTATCTCAAACCTGGGTGCGAGAGTACCAAAAGGTAAATTTAAACAAAGCAATGAAATAGGTTGAATAAATAAAAGTTAAACGAACAAAAAGCAAGAATAAAAACCTGTGGTATGGTGGATGGGATGACAGTGGTCTCAGCAGGGACTGGTGGGACAGGGATCACAGGGACAATGGGAGGAGAGGAAGGAACAGCTTCTGTGGGCTAAAAATCACCAACAAAATGTCAAAAATAACAAAAACCAGAAAAACATTTTAAAACAAACAACGTTCAAATTTGAACAGCTTAAAAAAAATTTCTGAAATAGCATATGGATTTGGAGACTATAACTAAAACTGTAGACAACCAACTACCTTTATCCATGCTGCATAGAGCAGTGCATCCCCGCAATGTGCTGACATCAAAGAACCCAAAGTATGAATAAGCAACCTGGATATGCCTTCCTATTAAGTTACTCACCTTGCAGTACAGAGTAATGAGACTTTGGGGTCCAACAGAAAACCTGTTCATGTCAACGGACAGACAGAGGCTTTTTGTGGTCTGGTTTCACAACAAAAGCCCTTCAACATTATACAACAGTATGCAAAAGCAGGGAAACAGTGGGTAAAGTTGATAGCACTGAATAAAGTTACTATTCCTCTTTGATAAAGGGGAAAAAAGGAAGAAATACATTAATGTTTCTAAATTGGACAAAATACCAAAGCAAATCTTTTAGTCAAGTGGGCAGAAGATCCTAAACCAGATTCATACTGGTTTATCATACACCTTCAGACTAGTAGAATTTTGGTCTTAGGAATCTTCATTTAAATAATAACCAGGAAAGCTACTGGCATTTAAACTGCAAGGGAAAAAATATTACAAATGGCATTTTAGGGGGAAAAAAAAAAAAAAAAACCAAACAAAAACAAACAAACATTGAAACATTGACTCCAGTAATTTTGAGTTGTTAACATACTGGTTGTCAACAGGCTGTGAGCAGCGTAAACTACTGGCAGCTATGATCAAAATTACAAGCTGAACAGCTGATCAAATCTCTCGCAACTTAGTTGTTCTGATACATTCTTGTGATCTTCAAATATAATTAATCATAATGACAAAAGAGAATATTAAACGCTGAAAAAGAACAAAAGCCCTAGAACATAACCATATTAAACATTTTTTAAAAGTTTGAGCTATTTTAAAACACAAATCAACATACACCAATACCATACACCAAATCAAAGAATAGAAGCAAGTATTAAGAAAATCTGAAACAGCCCAAGAGCTACAACCCTTATTTAATGTACATATGGTATTTCTACAGGTTTTTTTCAGCTCAAAGTCAACCTACCCAAATGAGAAGCTAGTGAAAAATGTTTCAGCTATTGAAAGATGTAAAACCAAGATATATTTGATACCTTGAGAAGTTATTATTAATGCCATTTAAACATCCTTACAACTATAGACAACAGCATGGTCTTTCAAGTGTTAAAAAAAGGAGGGTGGACAGGAACCTAAATTGGTCTCGAAAAATGATAATATGCATTTTGCAACAGATGCCGGAAATGCTCAGTGCAACAAACCGCCAGCTACTGGAAGAACAATGCAACCTTATGAGGAAAGATCAAATTAAATAGCTTGACCAATCACTCAGCCCTACACCTGCAAAAAATAATCCACCACTTCAGGTTCGCCTTGTTCCAAAGTAAGCAGCTTCCCATGTATGTACACAGTAAAAATCCTATAAACCAAAATTTCAGATATACACATATTACATACCAAAATACAGCACAACATTAAGGCTGAAAAGTTAAGCATTGGCATGTTAGAACAATTCCCTCTTCACATTTATAACTCCTGCAATAAGAGAAGGTTAAAAACAAGCTGAACTTACTCTTAGACACTGACCATACACTTCCCTGCCCTTTGGCATGGCAAAATAACTGACCAAGTCACAGTTGATTTCCTTATGGGCGAAACAATATGCACCCCTCTCTGCACCAAATGGCAGCTTTATTTTCCTGCTTCTTTCCTTTTCTCAATTCCTAACTCGCACATCTCTCTGGGCTTCTCGTTCCCAAATACTTCCAGAACCCTCCCAACCAGTTCCAATTTTTATCCTTGTTATTTTAAAACTGACATTGTTCAAAGTCCTTTAATTCTCTCAGGTCCCAGTCTCACAAGCTATCTGTGCTATCATTGCATTTTCCCTCTATGCCGTTGGTTTAGTATCCACTGTCTATTAAAAGCTTCTCCCTGCTCCTCCCAGCATCCTGGCATTGTTCCTGTTTAGTCTCATCTGTTACCATGCGGGTGAGGGAAGAGGTGACAACACTGGCAACCACTTTCAAAGCGTGTGCAAATCCAAATGAAGGTAAGACTGTCTTCATTTGACCGTTTCATGGAATACAGTGAACTGATACAGGCACCATGGCTACCACAAGGAAGGACAATGCAATAAATGAAAAGGTTTTTAATCATCAGAGAAAGAAGACCTGCAACTTCCTTATAATAGGAGGCTAATTTTATTTTAGTATGGCACATTATCAGTCTGGAAACTATTATATGATACAGGTATCTGTAAAACCAGCTGAATAAGCTCCAATAGCCCGAAGTATTGCTTTCAATGCTCCATTTCACAAGAATTTTCAAGAAACATTTGTAATTTTCAGGAATTCTCAAAAATTATACTGAAGTACTCTCAAAAACAAAAGCTTATCCTCAGAATAACCTTATTTAAAGATGTCTGACTAAAGAATTTAATGATCCTGGTTTAAAATGGACACCAATTTAAGTTACAAAGAAAGGAGAGGGCCAATTAAAAACCTTATTTTGAATATATATGTACAATAGCACACAATTATGACAGATCATTATATATAGGAATGCATGACTAACAGCTCACTTCAACAAAATCTGTCAGCCTAAATAAATGTGTTAACACCTACAACAAAAAGCCATTCTGTTACAGCAGTATGATCTCTCAAGTAATTTTTAAGTGTAACGATGGACTTCAGCATTTATATACAAAAAAAAAAATCAAGTAGTATGTTTAAAAAAGATAAATAATAATGCCTTTAAGAGATCAATTAAAATGAATGTCTGCACATCTAACACTAAGTCCAGATGTTGTGAAAAGGAAGGACACACCCATTTTCTCATGTTTAACCAACACACAGTAACTCCTGACGGGAGTACCAACTAACCTGATGTTAAATCAGAGCACCATACACATCCTGAGGCAGATCAACTAAACCAGCAAATCTCACAATACTGTTCTTTGTAAAGTACCAAAAGATATACTTTGGAAAACAGAAACCAAGCAAACCATACTTTCCTCACTTTGAAGAAAACCCACAGTGCAACAATCTTAATGGGAAAACACTGAGCAGTATTTCATTGCCAGCCCAACTCCTACTACTGCTACTTTGATTTCTAGCTATATAATACGAAAGAAAATCAAGTAACAAATTCTCTAGAAATAACAGGCATAAAACTACAGAAAGAAAAAAAGTATGACAAACTTCCTATGGTTTGCAACAAAAATGCACATACCTAGTGCAATACATACCTTTTCTAAAGAACAACTAGAACATGAGCCATCAGACACCCAACCACTAGCAGCTTTTACTTTTGCTGTGCTTTTTGTAGGACTCTTTTTTACACTATCACGTAGGTTTATAAATTTTCCTCTGTGTTTGGAAAACACTGGCAGCATGGATGAACTAAAAGATGTACGAATGCTCAGTGCTCGCTGCTGATGCCGAAAAGGCTGCTTTGGCTGCATATGAAGATTTTGATGTAATTCCATTCTCGGGCTCCTTGTTAAATCAGTGAGCTTGAGCGTTCCCATTTCACCATCATCTGTAGCACCACAGTATTTGTAGTCGTGACAGTGACTAGTCATGAAACTAGCAACACAAATAGTCCTTTTTGCAAAAAAATGGAGGGAAAATAAACCAAAATATTGCTTCCTGAGAAAGTTAAAAGTATTATTGTTTTCTAGATTACGGTCATAGGAAGAAACACTAAACACTTTTAGCTAGTACTGCATGTTGTGTACTCTCTCACTCTATTTAAAGAGCACCATTGAACCACCACACAACAGTCAATTTGCAGGGCATAAATAATCAATGCAATGCACAAATTACTGAAGAGATGGCAAAAGTCATCTGACAACTTATTAAAAAAGAACCTATGAAAGGTTATAGTTAGTTTCTTTGTCCCCTAAGTTCCTACTATCCCTAAACTTCATTGTATTTCACTACCTCAAAACTTCTCCAAGGTTTACAACTAGAAAAATTTAAAATATACCAATTCCTCTACTTTTCTGAACACATTACAGGGGTTGAAAACTAATTAATATAAAGAAGCTTATAATGAAAAGTATATGAATTGTGAATGGGCAGACACTTTGTGCAAGATTTCAACATTAAACTTCCATCCAACAAATTTGTTCAGATCATAATAACAAGAACTACTTTGTGTTAATAATTTTCAGAGTTGCATTTCCATGAAATATAGCAGCACTGCGAGACCACAATTTTAAGGTGCACGTTGTTTTAAATTAAAGGTTTGTTTGTTTTTTTTTTTTAAAAAAAGACATTTAAAGAAACCCGAGTTATTATTTTATTCATTCAGTTTTAAATGCCAAGGATGCACGATCTCTGTATTACATTTCACTCTAGTTTTCAAAAAAGGCTCAAAAACAACTCCTACCCCAACTCCCTCCCAAAAAAGCACATGAGGCCCTAGCTTGATTTAATTGTGCTGTGGAGTATTTAATTTCAGGAACCAACTTCTAATTAATCTTTCTAAAAAGAGGTAAGGATCAAAAGTTAATTTCCCAGAGTCTACATGAAAATTGACAGCTAAATAGAGACACCTGTATTCCCAGCCTTACAGAAGGAAGAAGCAGGCTCAAGTCAGTGGTCATGCAGCTTTCTGAATAGTGAGCACAACCAGCATTTGCACAGCCCTGGGCCAGCCACAGCATCACACCATCTGCCTGTGCCCCATGGGTCTGTTCTAGGAATATCCTGTGAATCTGAGTATCTGACACTGGGATGATAAGGATGAAGGACACCAGCCCACAGGAAACAAAGCCTGATTAGATCAGCTGTACCGTATTTGGAGAAAATGGACAAATTTCATCAGTTCCTAGCATTAATACATGGTTATTCTCCCTGTCACTGTACACTTTCCTACGGCAAATCTGAATATTT